CTTGAAGGACTTAACTGATTAAGATCAAGGACTACAATCTTCAGTATGGATTGCACCTCAACATAAAGAAAACAAAAATCCTCACAACTGAAGCAAAAAGCAACAGCATGATAAATGGAGAAAAGATTAAGTTGTCAGGGACTTCATTTTACTTGGATCCACAATCAACACCCATGGAAGCAGCAGTTAAGAAATCAGATGCCATATTGCACTGGGCATATATGCTGCAAAAGACCTCTTTAAAGTGTTAAGAATCAAAGATGTCACTTGGAAGACTAAGGTGTGCCACGATATTTTTGACTGCCTCACATGCATATGAAAGCTAGACAATGAATAAGGAAGATCAAAGAAGAGTTGATGCCTTTGAATTATGGTGTTAGCAGAATACTGAAAATACCACGGACTGCCAGAAGAACAAACAAATCTGTCTCGGAGGAAGTGCAGCCAGAATGCTCCTTGGAAGCGAGAACGGCTTCATCTCACCTACTTTGGTCATATGGTCAGAAGGGACCATTCCCTGGAGAAGGATGTCATGCTTGGTAAAGTGGAGAGTCTGTGAAAAAGGGGAAGACCCTCAACAAGAAGGATTGACACAGTGGCTGCAACGATGGGCTCAACTATAGCAAGGACTGTGAGGATAGGGATGACCCAGCCGTGTTGTACACAGTGTCGCTATGAGTCAGAGTTGACTTGACGGTACTGGTAACAACAACAAGATACTCTTCCACAGTATTCTGCACTTTTCCTTCACAACATTTATCACAGTTTGTAACCGAGTTTGTATTTTGGAGGGATTGCTTAACGTATCTTCTCCAGTAACCTGGAAGCTCCCTGAGGCCAAGAGTCCTGTCTGTCTCACTAATGACTGCTGCCCCTGCTGCTGGGTCCGGCACACTGCTGGGAGCTCAGTGGACAGCTGTCTGAGTAAATAAATACCACCCTCCAGGTTCACATCAAACTGCTGACAGCTCTCAAAGAACACACCCTGCAGGATTCAAGAGGACTCCTCTGTGAAGGCTTCCTGGATTCCCCATCCCTATGTCAGTATTTGCAACTAAGAGGCCATGATAAGGTGGAGACAGAACTCGGGAGGAGACCCATGTGAAGGGAGAGATGAAGGATTCAGTGAGGTGCCTGGAGGCTGGAGAGAGGCTGAGGGGCAGTTGGCTCAAGCAGGCGGGCATCCAGAGGGTCAGTCTGGATTAGAATGGGAGACAACCAGTAGCTGAAGCTGTGGGCATAAAGAAGAGTCCTCAGAGACGTGTGCAAAAGTGAAGAACATGAGTAGGGACCCTGTCTTAAGGTCTAAGCCGAGGACAATAGCCCTGGAAGCAGAGAAGCAGTGACAAGAGGTAAAGGAGCAGCATCAGAAGACAGCATTGTCACAGAAGGCAAGAGAGGTGGACACTTAGTAACTACAATCTCATCGATTTCTTTTCTTCTTCCCTGTTCAAGTTCATATCTGGCACCTGGTGAGTTGAGGCAGCTTGGTGGAGCTTGGACTCTGTCTGAATCCTGACTCTACAATATGTTAGCTGTGTGACCTCGGGCAATGGGTTTAACTTTTTCAGACCTAAAGTTCTCATTTGTAAAACAGGGGTACAGCTGGGATTTATGCTAAGGGGCTGCTGTCAGGATTCTATGAGATCGTCTTTGGAAAGCCCCTTAAACCATGTTTGACCTACAATCTAAGCAATGAATGGGCATCACCTGAGCATACAGAGCAGAGGAAGGGTGCACTGATTCCGCTGATGGAACTAATTCCGAAGTCCAGCCCTTCACCAAAAACAGTATCAGATGTGAGCCAAAGAGCTCCCCCTCCCCACCTTCTGTTGCATGCCCTGTTTTTCTGATTGAATTTCTGCCAAAAAACTATACAGTGGGCAGGGTCCATTTAACATCATCCTTACTCCTAAAGCGTCCTTCTGAAAATCAGTTTGCTAGCCCCTCACCAGTTGTGCCCCAGAGTTTGCCTACTTGATTGCAGCTAACCCACACCTAAGGGCACTTTCACCCCATTTTCCAGCTAATTATGGTGATACTCCCTCCTCAATGCAACTACTTTTGGGGAGACAAAAGTAAGTACTTGCAAGAGACCACTAATGTCTGCCCATAGCTTCTGACCATCCCATCTCTGAAGAAAGCATGTTTATACCATTTTACAGTTTAGAAAGCACTTCCACAACATAATCTCCCTTTCATCCTCACAACTGCCCTGTGAGGTAGATACGGAAATATCCATATTAGTCCACATGGATCAAGCATTTACAATGCATCATCCTCTGTGTTAAGTGTTGTCCTATGTGATCTCATTTAAACTTCACCAAAACTCTATGATATAGGTTCAACCAGTGTTCTCACTTTACAGAAGAGAAAAATAGGGCTCAGAGTGGTGAGATATTTCTCCCAAATCAAAGAGGTAGTAAGTAATGGAGCCTGGACTAGAACTGCAGATTGACTCCAAAGTCACACTTTTAACCCTTCTACAATATTGCCTCACAAAGCAAGTGTATTACTTCCCACATGTTATTCTACCCATGAAATTGAAGCTCAGAGAGAGAAAGTGACTCTCCCAAGCTCTCCCAATCAGGAACTGGCAAAGCTAGGACCCATACCTACATCTTCCTTCTCCAAGGCCCCTGAAAGCATGGAGTTTCAATGACTGGGCTGATGAGACACCAGATGGTGGTTTCTGCAGCAGACTTGCCTTGCCAATTCTGCTTGAACCAGAGTAGCATTTCTGTGTGGGAAATCCTTCCTGGCATTTATCAGGAAATTTATGTTCTTCTGAACGTCAAGTCAAGAAATTGGGAAAATGGGGGGAAAGTATCATAATTCTCCTTGAGAAATAAAGCTTAACAATCAATACAGAGGTGTCACTGGTTTGAAGAAACCCACTGACGTCAACTCAAAAGCAAGACAAGGAGATGCTGACACACAGAGTCCAAGGTTAAGGTCACTATTTCTGGAACCTGGGACAGGAGCACATAGGGGAGAACTGGTCACAATCCAATTAGTTTTTCTTATAACTATGGTCATATTAAAAAAGCGTTTGTGATCCTACCTGTTGCTAACAGTGAGTCATTTTCACAACTAAAATAAATACGAATGTTTAAACCATACTGTATTTTATAGAACTCTCTGAACGGTGTTCTAATACATAATAAGCTTTAGAAACAAATCAAGTCCTTCAATGGGCAATTTCAACAAGTAATTCTGTGTAGCGCTTGAATCTTGTTTGAAGATTCAAACATTCTGTTGTGTGAATACCACCCAAAAATATTGGCTGATCATTTTCCGGTTTTTGAATTTTTGCTATAGCCTATGTTCTATCTACTTGCTACTAAATGTATATTTCTTATTTATTTTAAAAAGTACAGAACTAATTATGAAAAATACTGATAACACGATTTTAGGGATTCTCTCCACATTTCCAATTTCTCCTTCCTAAATTCTGAAGATTAATGTCTGTTTGGAATTTGGAAACCTCAGCCTTAAGAGGAACCTGATGAGCTCTCCAAGCAATCAAGTGGAATGGTAGCAGGTGGAGAAAGACCGTCTTCCTTGGCCTCCAGGAAGGTCCCCTGCAGGAGCTGGTCATCAACTCTAAAGGCAGAGGTCTGAGAGGGGACTCCAGGCACCCATGGGTGAAACCTGAAGCACTGGCCATAAGCATGAAATTTCCCTCAAGTCTCAAGTTTCATTTCAATCACTGATGCAAATGTTCATTTCTATTTCAGGGAGTATCTGTTCATTTGAATATGCGTTTTCTATAATTTACGACTGAGAAAAATGGATGCTATGTCAAACCTGCAGCCCTGATCCCATGGTGTATCAGCATGAGTGAGCAGTAGTACAGTGGAGAGGGCCGTGGAGTCGGGCAGGCAGACCTAGGTCTGAATGCTGGTTCTGCCAAATACTGGCTGTGTAACTTTGGGTGGGTCCCACAATCACTCAGAGACTTAGTTTCTCCATCTGTAAAATGCTGATAATGAGAAGACCTATGTCACAGGGGTGTTGTAAGGATTAAATGAGATTAATTCGCATAATCACAGTGCCTGGCACAGGGTAAACCCTCGGTAAATGAGTCGTTACTTCCTAGTATGAGAGGCCCAGCAATGGAGTCAGCAAGCAAGAGCTTAGTGAAAGCCCTTGGAGCCAATTGCCCATTTGCTCTGGGTCTTCTCCAAGAGGAGATTCTCCAGGTGTGTTAGGGCGGGCTCACAGCTGTGCCAGAAAACTCGGCCAATTCAGGCCACTTCCCACCCCCACGTGGGTCCCACGGTGCTTGGTGGCAGGGAGGCAGGCAAGCTAACTGCAAGCCCTCCAGCCTGAGTTGGTTGCCAGGTGACCAGCAAGGCTGGCACGCTGGTGGACGTTCTTGACGCAAGTCCTGGAGTGCTTGAGAATGGTATTGGCACCGAAAGCCCTCATCCTCCCAAGGTGGGGGTAAGGTAGTGTGGGTGCTGTACCAGGGCCTCCACCTACCCATGCCTGGGCCTTGCCCAGCCTCTGCACGATGCTGCTGTCAGGGGTCACCTGGTGTTGCAGGAGGCTGGAGGCCAGCGGAAGCACTACCTACACACCTTGCACTAGAAGGCTCCTCAGCAGTATGGGCCCTCTGGTGCACCAATAAGGCTTCCTCCCCTCTCCTGGAGTAGAAGGTGCTGCCGAACTGTGCATGCACTTGGGGCTGCTGGTGGCACGGGAGCACTGGTATAGGAGGGTGTCCGGTGCTGCTGCATCCTCAGGTATTGGAAGAGGTCCGAGTTCCACCTGAAGCTTTTCCCACACTAGGGGCACCGGTGTGAGAGCCAACAGAGAGCAAGGTGGGTGCTGTGACTGTAAGTTGGGGCAGGCATAGGGCTGTCCGCCGGCTCAGGTTCCTGCAGTGGGTATTGAGCTGGGAAGCTCTTTTTGCCCTGGAGACATGGGTGAGTGGCTGGCGCTTAGGGGCGACCAAGGGAAGCCTAAGGGCCTCATCTTTCTAGGGAGCCGGCTCACCTTCCCTTCCCCTGCGGGCTTGTCCTGGGTCCCCTCAGGGCCTTGTTTCCTCCTCCAGAAGCTCTGGTATCTGGCACCGGCAATGCTGGACTGGGCCGGGAATTGGTCCGGAGGCCTCTCCGGGGGAGGAGCCTCCTGATAGGCTCTGTCTTCAGGCCTTTTTCTTGGAGGGCTCTCCTTGTTATTCTCACTCCTGGATCCTACAGGGAGAAAAGAAAGAATCTGGGCAGTGTTTCCTCTTCCACTCACCCACTCAAGGCTAGGAGGGCCTTGGCTAGAATCCCAGGTGGGGCCACATGCTGTGACAGCAGCCAGAGGTTAAGGCAGGGCTTAGTAGGAAACCTAGAAGAGCTCAGTTTTTGAAATCAGTGCTGGGTTTGCATCTCAGCTCCAACACTTACTTGCAGTGTGATTTCAGGCAAGTTAAATAATTTCTTGAAGGTTCAGTTTGTTCAACTATCTCACGACCATCGAGTCGATTCTGACTCATAGCAACCACCATTGGGTTTCCAAGGCTGTAAATCTTTACAGAAGCAGACTGCCTCATCTTTCTTCTACAGAGTGGCTGGTGGGTTCAAACCACCAACCTTTTGGTTAGCAGCCAAATGCCACCAGAGCTACACCACCAGAGCTTCTTTATTCAACTATAAGATGAGGACAATGGTAACTGCAGTCTCAAAGGATTGTGTCTGGTCAGTGGATCAGCAGACCATCAGGAAGGCAGGGTACAAGGATATGATAAACTGGGAATATCAATATAAACTCTTGACTTTAAAGCACACTTTTTCCAACTCTCCATTGAGTGAGATCTAGTACTTCACACACATACAAATACACCCTCACACACCCCCACCCCCACCGACTCTCATGTATCACTAATGCCCATATATTGGTCTCTAATATTATTAACTATTAAAAATAACCAAGACCACTTAGAAGGTAGCTGATTCCATTTGTTGGGGTAAAAAATCAAGATAGGTCTACAGCATCCTGTTGATCCCAGAAAGCAAGGATGTTCTCAAGGATGTCAGGGGCAGTGTTACAAAGACAAAGATATTAACTAATTAGACGACCAACGTGCAAACTGAGCATCATACAATATACAATCATCACCATTATGCTTAAGTAGAATGTCTGGGAGAGGCTGTCAGTCCATAAGTGATTCAAAAGGAGAAAGTTCACCAGCAATTCCAATTCCGTTCCCAGGTATATACCCAAAAGACTTGAAAGCAGAGACTCAAACAGAGACTTGTACACCAATGTTCATTGCAGCACTATTGACAATAGTCAAAATATAGAAACGACTTAAATATCTGTAAACAGATGAATGGATAAACAAAATGTGGTGTTTACATGCAACAAAATACTCCTCAGCCAATAGGAGAAATGAAGTCTTGATACTTGCTACAATGTGGAGGGAGCTGAAAGACATGCTGAGTGAAAGAAGTCAGTCACAAAAGGACAAAGATTATGTGGTCTCACTTATATAAAAAGACAAGGAAAGACACATGTACCGATATCAAAGATTATGAGTGGTTACTAGCGGTGGGAGGGAGGGGAAAAGGAGGAGGTGGTTATTGCTTAGGGAGTACTGAGCTTCTGCTCATGGTGATGTAAAAATTGCATTGATTAAGTATAAGGTGAGATAACTGATTATTTTAAGTGTTGTTGAGAAGTTGTAAGTTCTACACCTGTAAAAGGACGAACTGGCAAAAGCTGAGTGTGGTGTAGTGAAATACTTGGTATGGCTTTTGCGCTGTAGTAAATTACCTGGAATGGCTTTTCTAGCCGTAAGTCTTTATAAACTCCGTGGTGGAATTTACTGTGAGAAACTGAATAGCTCCTGATTGTTAAAATCATCCACCTGGGTTATTTCTTTTGGGAGCAGCACAAAGTAGTGTTCTGGGAAGTTCACTCTCTCTCATATGCTTGTGCTTAGAATTCTGATGTTATGATTGGTTAGTTTGGCCACTCTACCAGGCTCAAAAGGAGGCCTCCTAGATGCAGAAGACGTCTCTCTGACTGCTGGCTGGGAAGGTTGTGCTGCTGAAAGAGACATGTGCTCCTGAGAGATGCAAGAGACATGCATTGCTGAGTGAGACACCGAGGGACATGCACTGCTGGGAGAGAGACTGTTGGCTGAGAGACGGCAGGTTGAGAGAGACTGAGCGTTGTTCCTGAACTTGAATTGTAGCCTGATGCTTCCCTAATAAACCCCATAATCTGTGAGTTCTGTGTGGTCACTGCAGTGAATTATCGAACCCAGCAGAGAGGTGGTGGGTGCTGTGGGAGGAACGGTTGGTGTCAGGGTTGGTGAAAGGGCTGGAGGGAGGTAGCATGTCTGGCCTCCCAGTAATGGGCCTTGGGCTACTGATAGTGATTCTGTTTTCCTCTTGTGCGGTTAGAGGACGTAAGAAGATGTGGCCTCCTTGCCCTTTTAGCAGCTTTCTAACCAGTCTTTGTGACTCCCACCAGATTACAGGGTGGAACTGTGCAAATAAGGTGTATGGAACTCTAATGTGGGGATTGGTTAGTTTTGTCATTCTGTTAGGCTTAAAATGCGCCCTCATAGAGGCAGAGGGGGGATCTCACTGCCATCAAGAGAGAAGTGACAGAGGTAGAGTGGAGGAGGTGGACTATAACGAGTCCTTGGACCCGAGACCCCTGTGCTGGACTTCCCTGGCAGAGAGATGGCCAGCAGAGTGCGCTGGTAGAGATGGTCAAAAGGCACATGACTCGCTGGCAGAGTGGGGTGCACGTAGGTGTACCTATCAGCAGAGCTAAAAGAGCTTTATGACACTTGCCTGAGCAGGGAAGTGGTCAGGCCAAGAGGCCAAGGGCCAGAGAGGCATGCCTGAGGGCCAGCAGAGGGGAGACTGTCCTGATTGAAGAACTGTATCCTGAGTGAATTCCTGAACCTTAATTGTAGCCTGTTACTTCCCTAATAAGCCCTATAATGGTGAGTATTATCTGTGAGTTCTGTGTGGCCACTGCAATGAATTATGGAACCCAGCAGAGAGGTAGTAAGTGCCGTGAGAGTGGCAGCTGGTGTCAGAGCTGATAAAAAGGCGGAGGGTGGTGGCATGTCTGGCTTCATGTAAACAAGCCCTTGGCTGCTGATGGTGATTCTGTCTCCCCCTTGTGAAGTTGGAAGATGCCACCTCCATGCCCTTTTTGCACTAGGTGATAGATGTGTTTACAATTACAAAAAAAAAAAAGAAGTAGTTGCTCAGGCTGCTTGTGTACAACCAAACATGTAATGGAAGTTGGTTCCCAGTTTGACATGGTTTCATGGGACATCCAGTTAACTGGTCTAATAGCGTGTTTAGTGTTTCTGTTCTACTTCCCAGTTCACTGTGTAGTGCCTGGGATCTTAAAGCTTACAAGAGGACATTCAAGACACAACAACTGATCTCTGTTCTCCTGGAAAACAGAGAAAGACAGTCGGGAATAGAAGGAGAAAATGGAATGCATGGCTAATTGCCTCCATGAACAACGGCTTTTTTTGCCATAAGACCAGAAGAACTGGATGGTGCCCAGCTACCATTACTGAATGCTTTTTTTAAAAAAACATTTTATTGTTATAGCAAAAGTTTACCTAGCAAATTAGTTTTCCCAATCAATAGCTCGTATACACATTATTCTATGACCTTGGTTGCAATGCCCCCACAACTAGCTTTGATGGCAGGTTGTAATAACCTCTGTGATCATCATATTTGTACTTAAAGCAGATGAAGCAGTCATGAGAATCAGCCATATTGAATTTGTATTTGCAATATAAATGATTCATGATAATCTCATTGATCAGATTTACCATAAAAAAATTAAATATCCAAGGGAAAAAATGGCTGTCCATTTTTGTTGTTGTTATAAAGAATGTAATAAATTGAGCATTATACAGAGCCCGCTGCTGTGGCTTCCAGCCAAAACAAACCCACTGCCATTGAGTCAATTCTGACTCACAGCGACCCCCACTGGTTTTCCAAGGTAGTAAATCTTTACGGAAGTAGATTGCCCCCTCTTCCTTCCACATAGCAGCTGGTGGGTTTGAACCGCCAAGCTTCTTGGTTACCAGCCAAGGCCCTGCGCTACCAGAACTCCTTACACAGAGCACAGAGGTACTGAATATTTCTCTGTAGCCCAGAAGGCTCTCAAATATGAAATAAGGTCTAGTGGATCCTTGTGAGGGCTTTCAATGAGAAGATGCAAGGAAAACACTTGGCCCAGGGGCTGGCACATCCAGTGTAAATGAGTTAATTTATAGGAAGAGGGCAGGGTTGGTGGCAGGAGCAGACATTAGAGGACACAAAGCAAAGCTCTCACCAGGCATGGTGACCAGCCCACTGACAATCATTCAGTCATTCAGCAATGCAAGCTGAACACCTACAACGTGCCAGGCATCAGACAGCCAATGGTGAGCAAGACAGGGCCTTCCCATTTTTCCTCTTTCCATGGATTTCTTTCCTAGTCTGCTGGCCATCCTTCTCTTTCAGTCACAAGCAACTTTCTACTACACTTTTCCTTCAGGCCATTCTCAACCTCCCCATAGACAGAACTAGGACATTCTAGGCCTGGCCCCTTCCCCGTCGCAGGACTAAGGACCTCACCACAGAGAAGCCCTGGCATCCATTCAAGAGGCACGGGGCAAAATTCAGGGTACAGTCACTCAGCGAAGCTCCACCAAAGCAACAGAGCACTGTGGTTAGGAGTGTGGGATTTAGATCACTCAGGACAGGTCTGAATCCTGACACAGCTTCTTACTATCTGTGACCTTGGGCAAGTAACAGAAATTCTCCAGGGCTGTTTTCTTATCTATTTTTGTTGTTGCTAGTTGCTGCCCATTCTGCTTGGTGACCCCGTGGGTATAGAGTACAACTCCACAGCCTGTCCTCCCAGGAGCCTCTGGATGGGTTCGAACTGCCAACTTTTTGGCCAACAGTAGACACTATCGCACACTCGGGCTCTATTTCTTATCTATATAATAAGGGTCCCTGGGAGGATTAGTTAAGACTAGATATATGTGTGTGAGCTCTGGTGGCGTAGTGCCAAAGGCATCTGACTGCTAACCAGAAGGCTGGTTGTTCAAACCCACCAACCACTCCTCGGAAGGAAGACTGGGGACTCCAACTCCACGGCAATGAGATATGTCTCACTTTCTATCTACATAAAGCCCACAGCCATTGAGTTGATTCTGACCCAT